CGATAGTGAGACCCCTTTATCTCCGACTAATGTCTTGTCTCCGAAGGGGAATATCTGGAGATCCCTTTCCAGAGCACAAACATGGACTACCCGTCTATACCGGTGCTCATCGTATTCACTGCCAAATAGTATGTTATTTCTGACGCTATTATTGAAACTCCAGGCCTCCTGAGAGGCATAGCTAATGGTGCCCACCGTTTGTATACTTCCCTCGAGCACCGGTAGCTCATTAAGTATAGACATGATTAATGAACTCTATAAAAATAATTTATAAAATAATTTAAATTATTAAATTAATTTATTTAATAATCAACCCAAACATACCTTTCCCGAACCTACCGGTCCAATCACCGCTAATAGATCTCCAGGTTTTATATTGAATGAAATGTTTTGAATTGTTTCATAAGGACTGCCCTGATTACATAATATGTTATAATAAATATTAGCTAGTATAAATATTAAAATGTTTACTATATTTCATACTTCACTCCATTTGGCGGATATATTATTGACAATTACTTTTGGTTTTGCATTTGTTTTGGGAAAGGCAGCTAAATCACCAAAACCTTTAGTGTTATATGTTTTAGGCTCCATTTCCCCCAATTCCAAGAATGTCTAGATAATATTTTATATATTCTAATTAATTAATATAAGTATAACTGAGATATATTTTTGTAATTAATTAAATATTTGCAAATACTGTACTAATATTGATTGTATTAAGCGTGTTCATTGATTATCTAATTAGCATCATATAATATCATATAAGTTATAATAGTATATACAAGTATTCTATGTAGTTTCTATTCAAGTATTTTAAGTACAAAACTTAAAATCTCTATTAATTTTAGCAGTTTTATTGCTTATGAATGAATACCTGGATGCGAGAGCACGACACCGTCAGTTCAGCCCATTGGGCGATGGCGTAGGGAAACAGTGTCATCAAAGTAGTCCTAAGAGTATTGAACAGAGCCATTGTAATGAACACCGCTTTTGCGGTCAATAGGTTCCCGGTTAACACGTATGCCATAAAACATGCAAACAGTATTACACGGGGGGCCGCCAAATATACCGACAAATTGAAAGCATTCAGAAAAAGGGCCCTTTGTATGCCAAGGACCTCATTCCTATTTATAGTAAATATCCTTGGTTATTCATTTATAATTGTTATTTATCATTGAGCTTCCAACTTTCCACCATATTGCAAAGTGTATCGCATTTTAAAAAACTATTACCGGTATAATTTTTCAATACAAGTTTTAAAGGTTATTAAGTATAACTATAGTATCAAGGACATACTTTCTAGCGGTGGCCACCAGTTTGGCAAAGGACTGCTCCCAGGCATACATTTTGATGACTCGCATCCCCGATATAATCTCATTCATGAGCCGCAGTCGACTGTCCGTTAACTGAGCGGT